ATCATTCAGCTCTCCGCCGTTTCGTGCTGATAATATAATCAACAGGGAGATTACGGGACGTGCTTTTAACGCACGGCGCCTATGGACTTTACACGACGGCAATCGAACACCACGGAATTTTGGTAAACAAAATATTTACTACCTGATTTCTGTCAAACTAACTTGAACATTTTCATTTGAAATGGCTGTGAAAATCGCAATTTTTGTTTGCTTTTGCTTTTTGATTTTGTTTTAAGGGACATTCTTTTTATGTTGTCAATGAAATTCGTTTGTGATTTTTTTAAGGGAAATTGTTTTATGAATTTTGTTAGTGAATATTTTTTTTATATTATTGTGAATAAATATTATTTGTGATTTTTATAAATGAAGTTGTTTTATGAATATTATAAATAAATGTTTCTTTTAATGTTATTGGAAATGAAATTCATTTGTGATTTTAGTAAATAAAATTGTTTTATGATTATTGCAAGTGAATATTCTTTTGACGTTGTTATAAATAAAATTCATTTGTGATTTTAGTAAATGCAATTATTTTATGATTATTGCAAGTGAATATTCTTTTGACATTATTATAAATAAAATTCATTTGTGATTTTAGTAAATGAAATTGTTTTATGATTATTGTAAGTGAATATTCTTTTGACATTATTACAAATAAAATTCATTTGTGGTTTTATTAAATAAAATTGTTTTATAACTATTGTCAATGAAAATGTTTTGTGATCATTATAAATATAATTGTTGTATGATTTTGTTAGTTGAAATTATTTTGTGACCATCATAAGTAAAATTGTTATAAGATTTTGTTAATTAAAATTGTTTTGTGACTATCATAAATAAAATTGTTATATGATCTTGTTAATTAAAATTGTTTTGTGACCATCATAAGTAAAATTGTTATAAGATTTAGTTAACTAAAATTAATTTATTATTTTCACAAATGAAACGTGAACAAATAAATCAAGAGCTCCTAATTCTTTCAGCAACCCCGTTTATCAGAGCTGTCTATCCGCAGCAATGTTGAGATAAGTAGAGAAAGTTGAAATATTGTGCATACTTTGTATTTAACGATCCTTGACAGTGCAAATTCTAATTAGAAGTTGAAGCTTTGAGAGAAATAGTATTCCAGTTTCTTGCAAAGGATCGTAAAATCAGTTTCGAGTATCAGTAGATTGACAATTTAAGCGTTTAATCAAAATTTCGGTGCTTGAACGTTAGTCTACCTCCGCCATTTTGTAGATCGGAGGAGACTCCGCGGAAACGTCAACATAACCTACAAATAGTGGACTAAATCTTCAAAATTTTTGAATTTATTTAACTGATGGTGGAAATATAGTTGTTTGAGAGAAAGGTAACAAATTTATTGGAGAGAAGAGCAATAAATTTATTTAACAGAAGGTAAAAGTAATAAATATTTCTAGCAGAAGGTAGAAGTAAAATTTAACAGAAAGGTAATAAATTAATTTAACAGAAGGTAGAAGTAATATTTAACAGAAAAGTAATAAATTAATTTAACACAAGTTAAAAGTAAAATTTAACAGAAAAGTAATAAATTAATTTAGCAAAAGATAAAAATAAAATTTAACAGAAAAGTAATAAATTAATATAGCAAAAGATAAAAGTAAAATTTAACAGAAAAGTAATAAATTAATTTAGCAAAAGATAAAAATAAAATTGAACAGAAAAGTAATAAATTAATATAGCGGAAGATTATTAAAAAGAAATGAAAATTTAGTGACAGGGAAAGTAAATCGTTTGATGCGATATCGCGTGAAGAGCAGCCTTGAAACGGGGCACACGGTGCGTTTGCATGTAGCCGTGGTTAATGCATCGGTTCAATTAGCGGCCAACGCGGTGACACGGAACAATCAATTACGTTTGTTTACAAGGTGTACCCGTTAACGGCGCGACCATTGAACGGTCGTTTAAAACGGAATTAACATTCCTCGAAGATGAACGCCGGTCTCGGTGATCGTACATTGCTCGAAACGCTCGCGGAATGGAAACGAACGTGGCCGCTGAAAATCACGTACATCGTTTAATTCTACAAGCCGTTTACCAGCTATCTTTCGATGTACCAATTACGATTGTCTCATCAATTTTTAAATTATTTATCGATTCTAATATTTTTATTGGGGATTTTTGAGAAGATGAGGGATGAAATTATTATTAATGTATGTTAGTTTCTAGAATGGTTCAATTTTAACTTTGAGTCAAATTAAATAATTGAGGAAAACCCAAATTAATTTATAAAATTAACTTTTCACCTATGACAAGCTTAGGCGATGAAACGTACAAAAATTACAAATGAAAAATATTAAACCCCCTGAAACTTCCCCGTTTCGGTCCTCAGGTTTTTAACAGACCTGCGATAAAACGAAATTTTTGTAGGAGTGAAAACAGGGGGTCGCGTGACGCGTTCCATTACACCGAAAATAACGACATTCAAAAGTATGACCGTCGCAGCGATTCATCAAACACACGTTCGCACGCAGCCTGTCAGCAAGCCCTTTTTCTGTCGGCGAACCCGTTTCAGCGAGAGCATATCAGCCAGGCGTTACGACGCTGATAAGCGTCGGAGACTGGTCGCGCCGCAATATCCCAATTAACCTATCGCGGCTAATAAAATCTCCCGATCGAATAATCTAATCGGGATTTGTTCCGTTAACAGTTATAATCGGCGACATTAATTTAAAGGATGCATATCACTTTAAGAAGGCTACTACGTGCGTTGTTCATAGAGTTATACTGTTCGAAATGCTTCTAATATCTTCTACCTTGGGTAGGAGGAAGAATAGTCGACGGGGAGTGCGATCATGTCGTGGCATGTCGGGGAATGTCACGAGTTTATATTCTGGTGCGACTTTATCTTTTATTGTTTTAAACTTGAATATCTGTGTATGAGGATGAAATGATCAGAGTGATTTACTTTGTGGTATGTCACTAGACTTTTGCATGTCACTGGAAGCTTGCATGTCACGGCATGTCGAGGAATGTGACGAGTTTTACGTTCTGGTGTGACTTGATCTTTGATTGTTTTAAACTTGAAGAACATCTGTGTATGAGGATCAAATGATTAGGGTGATTTAGTTTGTGGTATGTCACTAGACTCTTGCATGTCATTGGAAGCTTTCATGTCGCAGCATGTCGAGGAATGTGACGAGTTTTATGTTCTGGTGCGACTTTATCTTTGATTATTTTGTACTGGAAGGAGATCTGTGTATGAGGAGCAGAAGATTACAGAGATCTACTTTGTGACATGTCACAGGACTTTTACATGTCACTGGAACCTTGTATGCCGCAGCATGTCGAGGAATGTCACATGTTTTATATTCTGGTGCGAATTGATCTTTGATTGTTTTAAACTTGAAGAACATCTGTGTATGAGGATCAAATAATTAGGGTGATTTACTTTGTGGTATGTCATTAGACTCTTGCATGTCATTGGAAGCTTTCATGTCACGGCATGTCGAAGAATGTCACGAGTTTTATGTTCTGGTGCGACTTGATCTTTGATTGTTTTGTACTTGAAGAAGATCTGTGTACGAGGATCAAATGATTAGGGTGATTTACTTTGTGATATGTCACTAGACTCTTGCATGTCACTGGAAGCTTGCATGTCTCTCAAGATACGCTTGCATGTCACTGACGTTGAAATTATATAAATCTTGTGGATGTGAATTAAGTAAAGATTCCTTGAAGTGAAATATTTTTACATTGCATAGAATTTTGACATGTCGTGACATATCACCTGGGGAACCTAACGAAAATTTGAAATCTGATAATCTGAATAATAGACGATTGTAAGAAGTATCTTAAGAGTAATTTTAGGACAGTTCACGATATTGCAACATTGTGCAATATAAATCTTCTGTATCGTATCACGTATAACGACATATCAGTCGAAAAAGTACGTCACAGTCGATAGGACGGCACATATCACCTTGATACTGTTCAGATGATCTAACCTTTCAGCAACTTGAAGTATTTTAAAAAAGTGCCATACTACAAGATCAAATTAGACCAATAGAAACTTGCATATCACTAAACTAGAACCTTGCATATCACTCTAAAAACCCTTATAGCACAAACATTGATCATGTCATCCAAATAATTGTGAGATCATTCAAATAGTTTTGGGATTATTTATTTTATGAAGAGGAACTCTTCAAGATAGCAGTTTCATGTCAGTAGCATATCACTCTAGAATCTTTAGGTGGATAAAGTCAATCATGGGTCATTCAAGTAATTCTAAGATTCAACCTTAAACAATTTCTGAATAAAAAGCCTCTTCAAGATAGAAATATCATAAGGCATATCACTCTGAGAGCTCTCACGTTACCGTTAAAGTCATTTAACCCTAAGTTCATCTGAATAAAACCTTTTCAAGGTAGATGTGACTAATAATATATCATTTGAAAAACGTTGAAGTCGTTCAAAGGTCATCAAAGTAAGACCATTAGCTCTGAAGTCTCCAAATTTTGAACAAGTCTCCTCTTTGTAGAATTGCATAAGACTATCACTCGAAGAGTACGTCACAAGCGAAGTCACAACCCTAAGCTCATCAAAGTAACCCCAGAACCACCAGATACTTCAAAATTTTGAATAAGTCTCCTCTCTGTAGAAGTAGTTACTCGACTATCCCTCGAAGAGTACAAAGTCACAACCCTCAAAGTAACAAGTTCATCAGAAGCCTAAAAATTTTGAACAAGAATCCGAGGTATCACTAGCCCTGAGTGGTGCAAATGACGAAGGTGATAAAAGTACTAAGGTCACAAGAAAGCCCTGATGTCACAAGAGGCCGACAAAGGTCAAAAAAGGAAGCTACAAGAGTCATAGAGGCTTAGATCAAAGGATGCTAGCGATCGAAGAGCCCTTAGTACCCGCAATGACCCGGTATTCTAAAGAGTGTCATATCGCTCGTCGAGACGAAGATGAAAGGATGATCCGAAAGGACGGGCCTAGGACCAATGAGCAGAGAACAGAGGGATGACACTCACCCAGTGCATGCCGGTAGTAGGAGGGGCGCGCTCCTCATACACTCCCATCAGGGTGGCTGCTGTCGCGGGGTAGTTCCCGCCGAGGGTGCGCGACGCCGAAGCTTGGGGGGGAGTCCCGGGGGATCCGCTTGCCGATAACGCGGAGATGGCGTCCGCTGCGCAGGTTCTCTTCTTCTGCCTCCTCTTCTTGCTCCACCACTAAGCGTCTCTCGACCCTCTCTCGGACAACTTTTCCGCACTCAAACAACTCTGTCACTGGCAACTCCCTTGCCGATGTATTCTCGCCGCCCGGCACGAGGGTAACCGGCGCCCTCACGGGCGCATTTCGCCGCAGGAGAACCGACAGAGGCCCGAAGTTACACCCTGTCAATGTCACGTAGCACTGCACAATCACTGACGGTCCGTGGAGTCCCGGGAATCCTGTAGGAACCCTGGTCCCATCGCTGGAAACACCGAACACCAAACACCCGGCTAGTCCGCGCACCTGCACTCGAATAGCACTCCGAGGTGTCCGTCCTTGGTCGACAAGGATCGATGTCAGTTACCGGGCATCAGACCCGTATCATGGCGCATGTGCCCCGAAGAACGAGACCCGATACGACCCGACGCCAGCAAACGAGCGACCACGCTGCGCCACAGTAAATACAGGCCCGTCTGCCGAGCCGAAGCCACGATGCGGAGTGAGGGAACCGGCACAGCTGCAACTGGTTCCAACCAGAGACAGCGCCGCGTCGCGGTGGAACCCCGAAAAACTGCGTCAAGGTGGGGCGGACTCGGTGCCCCGAGGCTCCGCCCACAGTCATCCCTACCCCCAGCGCCGGAGCGACGCTACGCTCCGCCCATCCAACGACCACCGTCCTTTTCCACACCGCATAATCTCTCTCGTTGCTACTCTTGGCTCCACGCTACCCGTCTCGACGACTCAGTGGCGTAGTCTGCCTTGTCGAGTTTCTTTTTAGTAAGAGTGTATCATAACACCTTGTTCAACCTTATCGGACATATGGATTGATCGAATTATTAAGGGAGTTACGACGGGTTTTGGGATTGGTTAGATGATACTCGAAAATGGAATCGTTTAATTTATTAGGTGTAGTCGTTTGGGATTAGGGTTGTTTGTTTAGATACGAGTGAGGGGTTCGTTTAGATACTAAGTTTAGGGTCAAGGTTTAAGGTCAGATGATACCTTGATGTAGGATTAGAGTCAAGGATTCGTCAGATGATACCTGGATCTAGATTTAGGGTCAAGGACGCGTCAGATGATACTTTGGTCTAGGTTTAGGGTCAAGGATACATCAGATGATACCTGGATCTAGGTTTAGGGTCAAGGATGCGTCAAATGATACCTTGCTCTAGCTTTAGGGTCAAGAATCCATCCAAATAGTTTCTTAAGGAGATCTAACAATAAAATTAAGGATATAGATGATACCTCAAGTCGATCTAGGATTAAGGTTAAGTCTACATGATACCTCATCTGGATCTAAGTTTAGGGTCAAGTAGTCATCAGATGATGCCTCATCTGGATCTAGGATTAAGGTTAAGGATTCATACACATGATATCTCAAGTGGATCTAGGATTAAGGTTAAGTGTTAGTCCAGGTGATACCTAGACTGGATCTAGGTTTAGGGTCAAGTAATCATCAGAAGATGCCTCCAGTGAATCTAGGATTAGAGTTAAGGATTCATACACATGATATCTCAAGTGGATCTAGGATTAAGGTTAAGTGTTAGTCCAGATGATACCTAGACCAGGTTTAGAGTCAAGTATGATACCTTAACTGGATTTTGGATGAAGTTGAAGTCTTAGCGACACAAACGACACCAGTTTGAACAATCGATCTGTCCACATAAACTGCACCTGAAGGTTTGACAGATTACTTCCCCAAAACAACTCGAAGAAAACCGCAATCTTATTCAAATCGCTAACAAGAACTTCTTAACAAGATGACAGGAGGTTAAACGTCGTGTCCATGAACGGCCGCGTCAAATTGACAAGCCGGACATGTTCATAACCGGTCATTACCCTGATTACGTGCATATTTGTTCGACGAAAAGGACCAAGGCACTTAACCATCTGGCATTTGCATGAACAAGCAATTTGCACGGAGGCGTTCGGTCACGCGAGTGTAGCCCTCACGAAAATGGAGAAAAGGTTGTCATCGGAGATTCCGTCGATAAAAATCGATAGTCCAAGTAATCCAGGAGGCAGCCAAGCGGTCAGTTGCATCCGGCCACGCTTTCTGCGGTCTCGAACGAGCCCTTTTTGTATTTATCTCTGTTGGAAAGTCGATTCGGTGGCGGCCTTCATCTTTTTGCCCCGTGCCAACCCGATGCCTTTGTACACGACATTGTTCGCCTCGGACTTTGTTGGCGGCTGCTTTTTGGTCGCGATTTTCTTGCTGTTACACAATGCCGTTGTCTCGCTCCGGTGTCCACGGAGCCTTCTTTTGTTCCGCGTAGCATTAGTTTCTATTTCTACTTTTTCAGTTTTCGTACTATTATTATGCATTGCTGACATGTTTTCTTAGGTCAATTTTCAAATACTGAGGATAACGTCACAGAACGTCAGAACGTAAAGTCACAATGAGAACATACATCATATGTCCATATGATGTGTCCACATATGTTACATGGTATTTTAAGTTTTGAGACCGGACAAGATATTTTAAGATTTAAGTTTGAACACGATATTTAATAAAAGGTGTGAAAGGTTCTTAAAAGCTTGAACATATTCTATAAAAGCCTGTGTGTGTCATTTTTTAAGAGAAGGCTATTTATTCATCAGAAGGGTGTGCACACGAAGACCAGTGTCAGCAGATGCAAATGTGTCTTGGACAAGAATTATTTATAATTTTTATGATTGACAAATATTGAGATGTTTTATAAAAGTCTTACAGGCTTGAATATATTCTATAAAAGCCTGTGTGTGTCATTTTTTAAGAGAAGGCTATTTATTCATCAGAAGGGTGTGCACACGAAGACCAGTGTCAGCAGATGCAAATGTGTCTTGGACAAGAATTATTTATAATTTTTATGATTGACAAATATTGAGATGTTTCATAAAAGTCTTACAAGCTTGAACATATTCTATAAAAGCCTGTGTGTGTCATTTTTTAAGAGAAGGCTATTTATTCATCAGAAGGGTGTGCACACGAAGACCAGTGTCAGCAGATGCGAATGTGTCTTGGACAAGAATTATTTATAATTTTACTTTGAATGTAAATAAAGTTACAACAATTTGAAAGTACATTAAAGATTACTAATAGTCCTTAAAATATTTCCCATAAGCCCCATATTCCCATAATCCCATGTAGAGCGAATCACAGAAAAGATGTTTTAAACAACCCCAAGCGAAAAGAAAGGCGGGAAAAAGAGACACGAAATGCTGTTAACTTGACGTGTGAGTACTAAACACGCAGTGACGGAACAATGAAGAGCGGCGCCCTGGGGAGATCAGCCCCGCCCGTAGCGCACCCCCCACGAGACACCGGTCTGAAAAGACCCCATAGAAACCTTGCGTCTACGGGGTTGTTCCGTGAAACCGCTTATACCTACGGGATCAACGTAACCGGATGAACTGTTAAAATTTGTGTTTCGTTCATTGATAGCTTGACAATGCTTACGGGAGCGTTTAGCGTCCCCTGCGGATCTATTTGTTGCGTTTGGGAATAAATTGACCGAACGGTGCTAGCGATATTTTCTTGGTATAATGACGAGTGGAGCTAGTAACGATTCGAAGGTTTTAACGAAGTGGAGGCCTTGTGGAAGTGTAAAATGGAGGTTAGGGAACATTTAATAATAACTTGACTGAATATTCAAGATGGCGTACGGTGAGAATTTGACTGCGTTCTTGTATTTTATGAGAACGCAGGTTATTCCACATCAATCATTTAGTAACTTTTAAAATATACTATAATATTATATTTAAACTATAAAACGCACAGACTTGTTTTTCCGCCAAAAATTCACAAACAGACAGTTCTGTGACATGACGCGTCATGCAACAGAAACCAACTTCTCGGCGCTCGATATTCGGGCCTCACACGAACGATCTTCCACAAATGTTCCATAACCCAGATAATATTCGCCATTAACATTTTGTCCCTATGGAACGAATTCCCGAAGTATTCCTTTAGAATCGTAAAAGCAAATTAACATTGTCTTCTCGAGGGACTTCTGGAATTGCAATTTTTTGATTTTGGAGGGCCTGGAGATTTCCACGTAGCACTTTGGCGCTTTGTTCGAGGTTCATACTTGAAGCACCGCGTCTCGTCACTAGTTACAATTGATTCCAGGAATGTACAGTTTCGTCTGGCTGTTTTGATAAGATCCTCGCAATATTCAACGCTCGCAATTTGTTGCGCTCGCCCGTGATTTTGTGACACGGCGACGAAAGGTTCTGTCGCATTAAACGCTATAAGTTTACAATTCGTTGCTCGATTCCAATAATGATTGTTGTGTTTTGTAGGGGAGGTATACTGTTTTCAGATAACATATTGTTTTAATAGATAGCGCTATTATTATACAGAGAAATTTGTAGCTGGGACGTCGATGAACAATATGGCGGCGTTGTGCGACAAAATGGCGGCGTTGCTCAACAAAATGGCGTTGCTCGACAAAATGGGAAGTATACTGCTTTGTAGGGGAGGTATACTGTTTTCAGATAACATATTGTTTTAATAGATAGCGCTATTATTATACAGAGAAATTTGTAGCTGGGACGTCGATGAACAATATGGCGGCGTTGTGCGACAAAATGGCGGCGTTGCTCAACAAAATGGCGTTGCTCGACAAAATGGGAAGTATACTTTCAGATAACATATTGTTCTAATGGATGACGCTAGTTTTTCTTAAATTTGAAAAGATTCGTTGCTTTTCCGAGATACTGTGTATAAGAGTAGGCCTTGTGGAGGTTAGAGAACATAGACGCTTTTAATAATAATTTGGTTGGATATCCAAAATGGCGTACGGTGAGAATTTGACTATGTTCTTGTATTTTATAAAGCTGTGTCTTGATACATTGGTTTCTCTAAATCAGTAATTTAGTAACGTATGAATGTTGATATCGTATACAATTTGTCATAGTTAGATTAGGTTAGGTTAGCTTACGTTCAAACAGAGTTAAATTAGAAATTTTGCTTATTCTTACATTAGAAGTTCCTTCTGTTCCATATTTCCTTAAAAATTATTCTACAAAATCCCTCTCCTATTTCTCAAGAAACATTAAAACTTCAGTATCCCTCAGCAAGTTTAAGAAAGAAGGAAAATGGCGACGTAAGAGTACAGCAAAACTCGGGACAAAGTATTTCGTTGCAACATCGCAGAAGAAAACTGGAGGACCGTTTAATTTTTCAACGCCGCCATTTTTGTTCGGCGAACGCTCGAGAGCCTTTAAAGGAAACAGAAGTCGGATTTCCACGGCGAAAATTGTTACGCTCCTGGCACCATTACGCTACTCGACACGAGCTTTGATGTTCGAGCTGAATGATTCTATGAAAATCGCGGCTCACAGCCCGTGAATACCGAGAGTGGCGCGAATCTTGGTCAAGGTTTGTTGCTGGTTTTTAGTTATGTTTAAAGGCTGTCGAGGGATTTATGCTGGTTTTTTGCTTTGATATTCGAGTACGGAATTCTATTACATACGTTGTGTTATGTATGTGTTGTGTTATTCGTGATGTACTTGTGGATTTGTATGGCT